CTAACGGGTGTAATTTTAAAATCCATGTGTGGTGATATTAACACAACTGCCTACCACATATCTGACATTTTAAAATCCCACGCTGGGTCCCTAAGGAGCACTCACTATAAGTCATCACATGGCTCTGACAGCCAACACTTACTCTTGCGACTGTGGGAGCTCTCTCCGTGGAGATCCCTGCTGCTGATGTCCACCTCCATGCGATGGCCAAAGTTAATCTGACTCCTCATCACAGAGTCTGAGATAAAACAAGCCATCAGGGTGCTACCGGAAAGTTATTATTACATGAGCTTAATTATCCAATAGAGCCTTTATATAAAACAAAGCCATTTGGCATCGACTAAAATATTTCCTCCTCTGCTGTGTTCCATCCCAAGATGCTTTTGGCTAAGTCAGTGTGTGGTACACCGGCCCTCGGACCCGTCGAGGTCATTGCTATTCAAACGTCCCTGCCTGCATCTGTGTTCGCCTCCCAAAATCATCCTGTGTAGGAGGTGAGAGCTGTTCTTCTCCTCACACCCTACACTGCCCTGACAGGAAAACATTGGTGACTGATTGAGAAGAAGGAACAGGATGGAGGGACCCAAACAAAAAGGGCCTGAAAATGAATGAAATTGTCTTTCTGAAATGAAGGCACAGCTCTGTTGGTACCAGTGTAGTGGACTGGAGCAGGAAACCCCTTCCATTACAAATCATGTAGAAATGCTGAATAAAAATAGGTAGGGGGTTTTGTGTGTGTGTGTGTGTGTGTGTGTGTGTGTATGTGTGTGTGTGTGTGTGTCCCCTTCGAAATGTGTAAGATGAGTTCACAGGAAAATCAGAAAATAGAAAACCAGAAGTTTGAAGGGTATGTTAGTTTTCTATCACTCCACTAACAAACTATCCCAAACTTGGCGGTATAAGCAACACGAATTTATCTTCTTATAGTTCTGGAGGACAGAAGTAGAATGCTGGTCTGACTGGATGGCATTCTCTGAGGGACAATCGATTTCCTAGGCTTCTGTCTTCCCCAGGCCACCCACACTCCTGACCCCAGGGCCTCTTCCTCCAACCTCAAAGCCAGCAACGTTGCATCTCTGACCACCCTTTAGTAGGTACACCTCCCTCGGATTCTCTTCTGCCCCCTCTCTTCCATTTGTGTAGACCTTTATGATGGCCTGGGGCAGGTCCAGAAAACCCAGGGTAATCATTTAATATTTTTTTTTAATTATTCAGTCTTAAAATCCACTGCTTCACAATCCTAATTTCATCTGCTCTCTGAATGCCCTTTCCGTTATAGAAGCGAATGTATTCACCAGAGACTGGGATGTGCACATTGTGGGTGAGGAGCCTGACTCTACCCACCACAGAGAAGAAACTAAAGACCAAGATTGGAAGTGGGGCTAACGCATTGACCGCCTTGGGTGGGAAGTCAGCAGTTTCCAAACAGCTTGCCTTCCACCAACCACGAAGCCAGACAGACAGCCTCGGCTCACAAGAGGGGAGTTGGAACTGAGATCCCCACGAAGCCAGGACCCACAAGCTCTCTGCTCTCAGAGAATGAATAAAAGTTTATCTACTGGCAAAAAGAGATGACAAAGGCATGTGTCTCATGGTCTCAAAATGTTCCCATAAGAATACACAACCACAGGCTTGTCCAGGACTCCCACTGCGGAGAAATAAGAAATTTGCAGTTCCAAACTGTCAACACCCTTGAGGCAGCTGGAAAATCAAACTCAAAACGTCTTTGGAGAAACACACCCTCAGTCTGGGTCGCACACATTCTACCAATGAAGCCCCACCAACAGGATTGCATAACCCAAACCTCAAGGAAAGCCTCCATTGTGAGTGACCGTACAAAAAAGGTAGCAAGCCAAGGAATCAGTTCATCAGAACTCCAAATAATAGAACAAGCAGGTTATAAAATAATTATTTTCATATGGTGAAGGAGGAAGCATGATCTCTGCAGCCTTGGTCTGTGGTGTACAAAGCAGGGTGCCCAAAAGAGTGACCAGACACTGTCCCAACCCTGGATGCCCCGGGGCAGTGGGGACAATCAAAAGGAGCAACCTAGAGGAGGTTCACAGCCTGTTTTCTAGGAAGTAGGATTGGAGATTCTGTTTAGGGAAACCTTAAAAGAGAACTCCAAGCAGGAAGCATTAGCTTCACATCCATGCCCGCCCCGCCAAAGGGGCTCAAGCCAGATATCCATCAGAGCGGTCTTCCTCACATCCACGGCCCTTCTTCCCCCCAGCTCCAAACTAGAGGATCTAGACATCAGCCCAGGAAGGGGAGAGGGAAAGACTAGAAATAGAGAAGATGCCACCTATGTCCCCAGCCTTCTACAGGCGTCCAGCCTCAAGCCGCACTGGGCAGAAGAAGAAGAAGAAGAGATGCTCAGCTTCGAGTGAAGTCCTGGGGCGTTTATTGAAACAGGCAATATGTTTTCCTCATTAAATGAGAGTGGGATGGTCGTTGAAAGTCACTAGAGAACTTTTTCTTTTCTACAAGTGACATCAGATGTTTTGGAAACTGCCCAAACCTTCATCCAAGGCTGAGGAAAGACGGCATAGGCTAGAAATGACAGGTTTGTATCATGCTCACTCTGCTCAGAGACTGGTGATGCTGACCCAGTAGACGTCTGTGGTTGGCCAACTCAGAGGCCCTCGCCCTACTTTTGGTCAGAGTGCCTGTCAATCACTGGCACAGCTAACAGAATGTCCAGTGGAAGTGGGAACGGGAGCCTGGTAAGGTGGTTGCCCCAAAATCCTGCAGTAAGGTCCAGGGGACCACCTTTCTGGATGATCGGCTGCTTGGTTCTTCCTTCAGTTTGATCTATGAGCCAGTATCCTTCTGTTAAGTTCCTTTTTGCTTAACATTTGTGTTAGTCAGCTTTTCATTCCTGTGACCAAACTACCTGACAAGAACAACTTAGAGAAGGAGAAGTTCATTTTAGGCTCATGATTTCATAGGTCTCTGTCCCTGGACAGCCAAGTCCATTGCTCTGTGCCTAAAGTGAGGCAGAGGGTATATTGGAGGAAAGCTTCTCCGTTTATGGTGGCCAGGAGGCAGAGAGAGCAGACCCAAGGGCACACCCCCAGGGATCTACTTCCTCTGGCCATGACCTACCCAAACAGTGACTACCCAGTTAGTTCATTCAAATAATTAATCCACTGATGAGGTCATAACTCTCATAATCTAATCATTTTTACTTCTGAACATTCCTGCCTTGTCCAACACATGAGCTTCTGGGGAAACACCTTATATTCAAACCACGACACCATTAATTCTCAAGTTTTTGATTCTGTGACTGTTTCAATGAAATTGACACAGGTACCAGTGGTGCACACCTGTAATACCAGCAGCTCAGGAGTCTGAGGCTGGAGGATCGTAGGTTCAAAGCCAGCCTCAGCAACTGAGCAAGGCTGTAAGCAATCTAGTAAGACCGTGTCTCAAAAATACATATATATCTTTATATATATGGGACTGCGGATGTGGGCTCAGTGGTTAAGTACACTTGTGTTCAATCCCTGATACAAAAAAAAAACTAGTTTGGAAATCATAATCTTGACTTTATATATAATCTTTTATATATTTCTTCACATTCAAATACATATTATATATTTTATATATTTTTTCAAAAGCTCTAATTATTCATCTATTACTTTTCTCAAAAGAATCGACCTCTAAGAACATATTATTTCAATGTTACCACAGTAACTTTGTTAACTTATTTAAGTTTTATAGGTGTTCCACATCTGGGATGATGGGAGAAAATGGTTAAATGGGTTTGTGTGTTGCTTATCCCCCACAATCTTGATGGGTGTGCCTGCGTTGTCCATGAAACAGACTGTGGCAAAACATCATGGTGAGCATTTCCATGCTCTGGTCCTAGCCTCCCACCTGTGTCCTGGGCTTCACTGACGACCCATGGCCAGTGACTAAGCCCTTTCTTCAACCAGCACATTTTTAAAAAGGAATTTGAAAACTCCTAGGCAAGCTACCCCCACCACCCGCTACCATCTCACACCTAGTGGTCTGACCCTTAAGTTGCCTGCTTGGCTCACAGGTCCTTGTTCTGATCCTCCTTTCCTTCCTCCTATTTCTGAGTTTGTCCTCTGCTTTGCCTTCTCAGCTGCAGAGGCTAGCTGAGCATGGCAGGTCACCCAAATCCTAGCACAGTATTTGTATTTTGGAGCATTAAATCAATCATTCCTAACAACTATTCAAAAGTACCCAGTTCTGCGAACAGTAATGAAAAAAAAATTAACTATGAGATTATTGATCAATCAAGACTTTTGTTTCTGCAGATGATTTTATTACGAAAATGTTCACACATATGTAAAGCAGAGAGAATAATGTCATGAACCCACCACCAGCTCCAACAACTAGCAACATCTGCCCCATTTGATTCCTCTCTTCCTCCCTGGGCCTCCGACACCTTCCCACACACTCATCAGCCATGCCCACAGCAAGCTAGGTTATTTATAAGCAAATTCAAGATGCTATAACATTTCATCCATAAACATTTACATCTATATAGATAGCACCAAGAGATAAGATCTCTTTTTTTTAAACATAACTACCATTATCACAACAAAAATAACAGTAATTCCTTAATATCATCACATACAAACAGTATTCAGATTTCCCCAATTCATGCCCCCTTTTTCTCTCTCCATGGATTTGTTTGGCTCTTTTCTTGTAATTATCTTTTAAAAATCTCTTTACAAGTTGTTTACTTGAATCTGATTCAAGTTAACACCAGTATTGCTCTTGGTTGATAAATCTCATAAATTTCTCTTTTTCTATAACAGTTCCTCCTTCCCTTTTTTTTTTTAACACTTCTTTGTTGAAAAACTTGGGTGTGTTTTGGTTGACAGAGCTGT